ATGAATCTCGTAGTTGCGCTCCACCGGGTTGAGGCTTTTGGACATGAACGCAACTGGGTGCCATTTTCCGTCCGCTTCCGAAGGTTGAGAGAGAGCGGCCCCGGTCGCAAAATCCGAGGAGTCGGCTTCCAGACGATAAGGTGCTGTATCGCTAGGGAGCATGAGAACCGGTGCGGTCGTTACAAGCTGCTTAAGTTTGTCGAAAGCCTCTTGTTCCGTGTGGGTCCACTTCCATTTGGCATCCTTCTTGGTCAAGTCGAAGAGGGGGCGCACATGGAGAGAGAAATCCTTGATGAACCGTCTGTAGAAGTTGACGAAACCTACAAAAGACTGAACTCCCTTCTTTCCGTTCGGTTCCGGCCACTCAGTGATAGCTGCGACCTTGACAGGGTCCATTTCCACTCGGTTTTCAGAGATGATGAGGCCTAGGTACTCGATTGACGTCCGTTCGAATTCGCACTTCTCAGGCTTGAGGTAGAGTTTGTGTTCCTTCAAACGTTGAAGTACCAGCTTGGTGATACGTCTATGCTCGGCGATAGTCTTGGTGAAAATAAGAATATCGTCGGTATAAACGCATACAACTCCCTCCATGATCAGATCATGAAAGATGTCGTTCATCATCGTCTGGAAAGTCGCCGGGCTATTGCAAAGACAAAAGAACATCACTAACAGCTCGAAAAGACCCCTATTTGTCTGAAAGGCTGCCTTCCACTCGTCTCCCTTCCGGATCCGTACATTATTGTATCCCCACCGGACATCCAGTTTGGTAAAGTACTTCGCGCCGCGTAACTGATTGACCAGTTCGGAAATCAGTGGAATAGGATAGCGATTCTTGATAGTTATCCCGTTCAATGCTCGATAGTCTTGTACCAGCCGCAAGGTTCCGTCCTTCTTCTTGATGAAGAATACTGGGGAAGCCATTGGGGATTTGGAGGGGTGGATCCGTCCGGAATCCAAGTTCTCTTGTAGGAATGCGTCCAGTTCTGCCTGTTCCACAGGAGACAACGGGTAAACCTTGGTGTTCGTGGGTTTCGCGTCCGGGATTAACTCTATAGTGTGGTCCCATATTTTTTCGTGCAGAAGCAAGTCAAAGGACTTCTTGGAGAAGATGTCCTTGAATTCACGCAAATACTCTGGTATATGCGTCTCTGCCTTGACATTTTTGCTATGGGCTTCGGCCAATCGAGAGGAAACGGTCTGGGTGGCACGGATGAACTCTCCCTCCGTCGGGAGATTGATGTAGAAAAGCCGATCACCTTCTTTGAATCTATCCTCTGGCGCAACAGGGTTTGCCTCATCATCTGTGGTTGATGATGAGTCGTCCTTGACATCGGATTCGTCGTCGTTGGCTTCTTCTACAAAAGTAGGGTGCGGACCCGAGCGGCACTTCAGAAGGCGACGTACTTCAACCTTCTTCTTGTGTCTCTGGGCGGAAGCTTCCTTGTGAATTTCCGTTCGGCATGTGAGGCACTTATCGGGGCAGCGGCTCATCTTCACTTCCTTGGTTTGCCAGTCGATTTCGGGGTTGTGCTCCTCAAGCCAGGTGAATCCCAAAATCATATCCTGTTTTCCCAAGTTGGTGACAGCGAAGGAAGTCCGCTCAGTGTGATCATTGTAGCGCAAGATCAAGTCCACAATTTCGGTCACAGAGCCCCCTTCATTTCGAGTTCCATCCACATTGAGCACTGGAATCGCGCGGGCGAGTTTGCGTGTGGTGAGTCGGTTACGGCGGACGAAATCGGCATCCATGAATTGACCTGTAGCTCCACAGTCGACCAACGCGGGCGTGGAGAACACTTCACCCGTGTCGGTGGTTTGAACAGAGACCTTGAGAGACAGAGACTT